GTTAAACACTTGAATGAACTTGCGTGATGAGAGTTTTGTTATTTCGCTCCTTGCTGGTCATTTCTATTGTACCGATACCTTATATTCTATTAACGGCGTAGGTTTGGTCGTGCRATGACCGCGTGCGTGCCTATCGTCTGTTTAATTGATTTTGTTTATGGTTCGGTCACTGTGTTGGCATGAGATGTCATTGTGTGTACAACCACTTTCGGCCACCGTTTTTACGGTGTGCCCTATTCGCACGACATGCTCATTGCTGTATTATTAKTCATTATAAATGGCGCAGGAGCCGTGTCCTCGATACACGCATAAATAGTCATGATTTGCTCTGAGGCATTGATTCCCTTTCCCCGTGAGCCGGCTAATGATATGGTCCATTACTTATGATATTCCGCAAGGACTGTTTTAAAATGGAACTATAACTGTTGTACATGTATGTTTGTGTTCAAGTCATGCCTCCCAGAAAACGAGCGAGGAGAAATCCCCCRAGTAACCTCCACGAGGACCRCCCTGGGGACATAGACAACAATCAGCTTCCAAACCAACGTCCACCTTTRGATATCGCCACGTTGTCCGCGAGCATATCCACTGCGGTTTCGGAGGCTATACAGCGAGCCTTCCAAGGTAACCAACAAAGGCAGCCTGGTGTACGAGACACCATTCGCGAAAATGCCAATTTCATAAGTGGAGGAAATGACGCATCAGGTCAGTCAGATACAGGAGAGCCACTCACCCCTATATTCTCKAGCATTGCCATCCCACTGGGTGGTAATGTCAGCGATAAAGTTAAGGCAAAAATATGGGCCGACGAGTTTGTACATTTCAGTGCTCTGTTAGAGCCGTCCGTCAACCAAAGCAGATATGCAGTCAATTTGTCTCCTGCTCAAGGAGACAAACAGGCCTCGTTGACCTTTGAGCCGCATCACGCAGCCAAGAAAATTGTTTCTATAAACCAATGGATAACGGCTTTCAATATCTTTGCAGCCATTAAGTGCCAAACCAAGCCGCGAGAGAGCGTTWATCTATTTAAATATTGTGAGATTGTTCGTGACATCGCTGCAAAAACGGGTGATTGGGCGATGTACGACGAACAATTTCGCTATTTGCGCCAGTCAGCCCCGGAGCGTTTTCCCTGGGAAGCTGTACACTGGGAATTGTGGCTAAAGGCGACGACTAATTTTCGTGCCTCAAAACMARCAACTAATKTTCGTGCCTCAAAGCAATCCCGCCAGTCGTTCGGACAAGGGACGTGCTGGTCCTTCAACGCAGGGAAATTTTGCGGGGGGTGCAAATATGCMCAYAAGTGCTCAAATTGCGGTGCAAAACACGCAGCCTCCCAATGTAATAGTTCCTCGGTCGGTACCGAACAGCGCGGYGCTTCACAAAGGGTTGGACAGGGAGCTTCTACTACGGCTGTTWAAGAGCCCACCGGTAACTCCCGTAAGAGTGGAGCGTCTTAGTCGACTCCTTGATTCATATGACCCTTCGTTACGATCATTTCTTATTAGTGGTTTTACATATGGTTTTTATGTTCATTACTTTGGGGAGCGTCGCGCTGTTCAGTCACCGAATTTACGCAGTGCACTAGAGGCACCATTGGTTGTTAACGCGAAATTAGAAAAGGAATTGAGCGCTGGGAGAATCGCWGGACCATTCCACGCTCCTCCTTTTCAKGATTTTGTATCRTCTCCTTTAGGCATAGTTCCCAAGAAATCGCCTAATGAATTTCGCTTGATTCAYCACTTGTCCTACCCCGCGGGTAGCTCGGTTAATGACGGAATTCCGGCTGAATTTTCCTCAGTTCATTACGCTTCCATAAATGATGCTATTGCTATGATAAAACGTACAGGGACTGGCTGTTTTTTAGCTAAAACCGATATAAAATCCGCATTTCGCATAATTCCAATTCATCCCGAGGATTATTCATTACTTGGGATGAAATGGAATGACCTTTATTACTTCGATCGATGTTTACCGATGGGTTGTTCGTCATCGTGCGCTATCTTTGAAMGTTTTAGCACCGCACTAGAATGGATAGCCAAACGACTATTCAATACAGACGGTATTCTGCATGTTTTGGACGATTTTCTATTTATAGCCAAGGATAGACACTCGTGTGAGTCGATGTTAAAGGGATTTCTTAGTTTGTGCGATTATTTAGGMGTTCCAATCGCMCAGGAAAAAACTCACGGACCGTACACCTCATTGCAGTTTGTAGGCATTACACTAGACTCGGTGACYTGGGAGGCGCGCCTTCCCGAGGATAAGCTTCAAAAATGCCGCACGATGATTGATGACTTCCTGTCGAGACGCAAAGTYACTCTTCGCGAGATTCAATCGCTAATAGGGCTGTTAAATTTCACGTGTTCGGTCGTTCTCCCGGGTCGCGCATTTTTGCGTCGGCTAATCGATCTTACCAAAGGCATACGCCGTCCATATCACCGCATTCGGGTAAGCACATCGGTCAAAAATGATTTACGTGTATGGTTGCAGTTTCYCAAGCAATATAACGGACGGACTTTCTTTATTGAGGAATCTTGGACGGGGACTCCCCATCTAGAGATGACTTCAGACGCAGCGGGTTCCAAAGGATACGGCGCACTCTTTGGTAAACATTGGTTGCACGGGGAATGGCCTGACGCTTGGAAATCGTTAAATATTACATTTTTAGAGCTTTTTCCCATAGTGTTAGCTTTACACGTGTGGGGACCGGAGATGGCCGACAGATGCATTATCTTCTTAACTGATAACGCGGCTTTAGTCGACATAATCAATCAGCAAACGTCTAAACATCCTTTAGTGATGATTTTGATACGCGATTTAGTCCTCACGGCCCTTAAACATAATGTGCTTTTCCGCGCACGGCATCTGCCGGGGATATTGAATACTCGTGCCGACCTTATTTCTCGTTTTCAGATAGACCAATTCAAGGCTCTCTCCCCTGGAATGGACGATCTGCCAACTCAGATCCCCACGCACCTTCTGCCCMGGAATTGGTCGAGCATTTAAGTGACCTTTTACTGTCAGGTCTGTCTGAAGGTTCGCGCAGAACGTATCAGCGTGCCTGGTCAAWTTTTCGCGAATTTTACCAGCGATTTTACGATTCGCGTCAGCCTATAGTACCAGTGGCTCCCAACATCATAGCATTGTTCATTTCATATTCGAGTTTCCTTAAGAAGGCACCGGCAACAATTGCTTCTTATCTCTCGGCCATCGGTTATGTACACAAATTGCGGGGCTTTCAAGATCCTACTCAAACATTTGTAATACAAAAGCTTATGAAAGCAGTGGGTCGTGAACGTGCCGCGGACCTTCGACTTCCTATTTCACGCCCCGTGCTCCATCAGATTGTGCGATCGCTTGTATCGACCAATTCCTCGGCTTCAAAACAGCGCCTCTACGCAGCTATGTTTCTGACAGCCTTTTACGGCTTTTTTCGCGTCGGAGAACTGACGGCCAAAAGCGCTAGAGAGTCTGCAGACATAGTTCAATTCGATGACATACGTTTTCTCTCTGAGTGTGGTCAGGTTAAGATGATTAAGATAACGATTCGGAAGTTCAAGCATAATTCGGATAATAGGCCTTTCGATATTCTCATTGCACGAGAAAGGTCCGCTGTATTTTGTCCGGTTTTGAGTCTTATCGCTTATTGTGAGCTGCGCGGCAGGCAGCCAGGGCCGTTGTTCTGTTTACCTGACATGAGTCCAATAACTACCAGTATGTTTAACACTGAGCTAAAACGTTGTCTTATATTTTGTGGGCTAGACACGACTCGTTACAAGAGCCATAGCTTCAGGATTGGAGCTGCTTGCTATGCATCRGAGCAAGGCTTTTCAGACTCTCAAATTCGCAAATTGGGTCGTTGGAAATCCGACGCGTTCAAAGTTTACTTGCGTCCTGAATCTCTCAATGCTAATTAGTATATKTTATGGGTCGGACATGGSCCGCCATAATATTTCGTTGTCGCGGTTTTAATTGTTTGCTGACGGGTCAGACAGGGGCTGCCGTCACAGACCACAAATATTTGTGTAAAGTAATTTGTAGTTAATCGTAACTCTGGTCAGCAAGGGCTGCAGAGTGGACAATACGTTTTACGCTGCTTACAAAGGGGAGGGGATGTTGTTCAGACATGGGCTGCAACACTACCCCCCGTGTCGCTTATTGCGTCAGATATTTCTTCTTTTCCTATAATGTTTTCACTTAAACTATCGTGAGCTCAGCGTGACTGCGTTTTGGGGTTGCCACACTGTAGTGGCTTGTGGCCGGGTTTTTTCCCATCTTTGATGACGCGATACAGAACATGTACATTGTACGTTTTGAGTTGATCAATTAAACACGTCACATGTGTGACCGAATTTATTCCAACTCACTGTGTAAAGTTATTTTTGTCGTATCTCCTCATCAAGTCGGTCGCAGACGCGCTGAGCTCTTCTCGCGTAATTTTACAGTAGCGAAAGTTTCAGCGTGAGATAAAAAATCAAACATTATACGAAAAGTATAATGGCATTTTTACCGAACGCGGTCGATTAATTGATGTATATGTAATAAATTAAGCATAAAGTCTATAAACAACTGAACTACAGGGTGCAGATGGCTCACATCTTTCATGGTATAGGGTAATCAGTCACATGTCTTCCGCCGGAATTATACGGCACGTGGTCACCTGACCATTCGTAATCTGTGATTATATATCATCGAAGCAACACAGCGTATGTCACAATCGCTACTTTTAGCTTGCTACGAGCATTTGATTCAAATTT